TCTCAGTCCTCTTAACAGCCATTCGCCGAGGCGTGTTCTTGCGATAGGCTATCGTGGGCAAACAAAGCAGAAGTACTGGTTTTACGAATGCTTCAAATATTTGTGCTCTGATCTTATTCGAACAACGCCATCAGTTTTTCTACATTGAATTTTTATTTCAATATTGGTCTGCTCAAAATTGCTCACCGATCTAAGCCTACTGCACTCCTGTCTTGGGATTTCACAAGTGCGGGATATTCGAGCTTAAGAAACACTTTCGATTCGTGCACGAAGGGTTGTTCATATTTTGTTCATAAGGGGTGAGCAATAGACTTACCTCCACGTGGTGCATCCTGGGCAACGTATACTCATACGGCAAAAAAGTCTATAAACCGGCAGTTGACTTCTGACTTCAAACTACCATGGCCCGACTGCTTGTCATATTCGACACCTTCACAGTACTCATCTTACTTTTTTCTCTACCTTTGTGTCTGTCTGCCTCTTATATCTGTGAATTGCTCTTCTATTCCCCACCCCTCAACTTTCTACTTTGGTGAACCTTTCCTCTGTGAAGCCCGAAGTCAGCTAAATGGCTAATGATAGCTATCAAAACGCCTGCCATTTGAAATAAAAAAATTAGTTCATAATGACTTAGTGAAGAAACAAATTGCTTTTTTTAATTTTTTAGGAGAGAAAATTACACCAGAGTCCTGTGGAAAAGGAATGTTTACTACTTCCATCTATTGACTTCAAATTATTGTGGTCTACAGAGGTATCTCGAATTTCATTTAAGTTATATATTGAATTGTTTTGGTCGTTTATTCACCTTTTGCTTTTTTCACTGAACATAAAGACCTCCAGATGTGAGCTTTCCTGAAGTCTTTTGCTACTCGAGCAAACTGTCTAATTTTTGCCATTACTGCTATTCCACTGATTTGCGTTGAGGATTCGGAAGTGTGTCTGATCGGAGAAAGCAGCAGTGCCTCTTCCTTTGACCAATCAAGATCTATGGAAGTGATGGACCTTACTACTGATGAGGGTAAGCAGTAAGCTTGGAAGCTTTATACGAGTCCTTATTTGGAATGTTCCTTGGCACCTTTAGATCTTGCGTTTGGTTTTATTGCCAAGGAAGGTGAAGGTGCGTTCTCTCCTTGTCCCAGACCTGCTGGAGATCTGAGCCTAATTATGCGTGAATTGAACTGACTGAAGAGATATTTTGCTTCAAAAAATAAAAGGGAGATCCCTTTATTTCTTACCCCTATTTACCCCAGCTTAAAGGTAATAAATATAAGTCGTTTGTCATCTTTTTCGTGAGGCTTCTGTTACAGTGTCTTCTTTCGAATACGGACAGTTTGTCTGCTCGCAATTTTATTCACTCATGGCGCGGTATATTTTTAGCCTCTACCTTTTCCATATCTCCACTTATCAGCTTTCTAAATAAGTACAAAACGAAGTCTTCTTGAACCTTATCGTTGAATTTTTCCAAGACATGGTTTGGGTTATAATTTCACATACTCACGTTTTCTTCCTCTTTCTACACCTTCCAAGTTTATAAAAACTTGACCATCACAGAATACGACGATCGAGGTTTCGTTTGGATGTTCGTATTAAGGGAGGTAATAGGGCGAGTGTCGGCTTCGGACCAAGGGGAATGACGAGTCAGGTAGACAAATATATGCTTGTGGGTGGGTGGGTGGGTGGGTGGTGGGAGGAGTACTAGAAATGTAGGACAATTCTAGGGTAGATACACCTTATAAGTCTATTTACAAGTCCAACTTGTTATTCAAACCATCGAAGTTGATTAATCTTGTTTGTGATTTTTTGCAGATTCGAGATCGTCGAAGCTCAATAAAATGGATGATATTTCATCAAAACAGAACCTGTAACATTGGATGTCTCCGATCCCTTTGTGCGAACTTAAACAACCGTATCTTTTTTAAATAAGAAAACCTTGAAAAAGTGTATTGGATTTCATATATGCAGCTTGTATTAAGTATTAGTTTGTACTGAATTTTATCTCTTTGGCAGCGGTCCATCGACCAATTTGTTCCCTATTTAGCTAAAAAGACTGGATAAGTTTGAATTGCCCTCAATGAGATAACTGAGTAATTAGTTAACCTTGACTAGACATAAATTCATCCAGCTCACCAGACGTGTACCGATGGACACGGAATTCTTGACCTCTTACTTTGTTGACAAAGATGCTAATCGGGACCATCGGGCCAGTGAGAGTTTCGACACTGTCTGCAGCATAAGATTGACCAATTGGTGTGTGTTTGATCAAGTATGAAGTACCACGATTAGTAATAAAGGCACTTTGAATTTTATATATGTGCACATGGGCAATCATAATCCTTAGACTATAGGCGATCGTAGTCGATACATGACTTGCGTGCTGAGTCTAAGCTGTCACAGGGATTTACAAAGGATGTTAACCAGGCATGCGCTCCAAACCTAATCCACTTAGCCTTTCTATACGATTCCACTTTCACGTAAACAGTATGCATTAACGCACCAATAAGTTTGATTTAAAACGCATTGTCAGCTCCCCCCTTCCC